CAGAAGGCAGCACAGCTAGCATGCCAGAATGCATATTTTAGTCAATATCCTGAATGCAGGCTCTGGAAGACATCTTGATTAGGAAATAGCTGCTGCAATCCTAAATGTGACAGGCTTATAGCTTCAAATCATAAGACTGTCTCTTTAAGGGAGTGTTGAAAATTGGATTCAAGTTCTGTACTTGGCCAACGGAAAAGTAAAAGGCATTGTGCAAAAGTACAAATAAATCACACACTGTATATCTAATATGAAGTGTAACTGTATCAGTTAGACCAGTGATGGTGAACCTTTTTGGCATCAAGTGCTGAAAAGGTTGCGTGGAAACGTTGCGCTCGTGTGGGTGCGCTCGTCAGGGCTGCGCTCCAGAAAAGCCGAACTTCTGGGTTCTGGCACGCATGCATGCCTGCCAATCAACTGGCTGGCATGCATGTGCACACCGGTTTTTGGCACTGCTGTGCACATGAAGGACAGCTGATTGTTGCACGCGCATGCGCGCCAGAAACCCAGAAGACAAACAGGCAAGGCAGTGCATGCCAGCGACATGGCTTCGTGTGCCACTTTGGGCATGCGTGCCATAGGTTTGCCATCACAGAGTCAGACTAAACAAGGAGTTGCCACTGTTTTGAGGACTGTAGGCATACTTGAAAATTTCAAAATATTATTAGATTAAATTCATATGATCCTGCTAGGTGAAAACCACTCAACCCACATCAAAGCTCAATACAATGTGTGACGCCAGATAATGACTAACTGAGAAAATTATTTTATTCTGACAAGATGTCCATGTCTGATAAAAACAAGATAAAAACCGTACAAAGGAGATAAATACAAAAGATCACATTTTTGTGGTGCTCCTTTCAGAGCCGCTGTTGGGATGAACAAACTTGGAGGCCTCTTTTCATTAGTTGTTTCACCACTAATGAATATGATAGCTTTAAAAGAAATGGAAGAGCTCCAAAGTAATGAAAGCGCTCTAGAGTTTAGATCCTTTGCTGTGCAGCTGGAGGAAGCCAATGAAGAAGTCCTATTGGCCGACAGGCTCACAAGGACAGTATGTCATAATGTAGAAAATGCCCCTTAAGAGCCGGTCTCTGCCAGAGCTGCTTGGCTTCCAGTCTGCGCTGTCTAGCAAGGCAGGTGGAGGCGGCAGCTGCTGCACTACTCAGAACAAGGGTGAGCCTGCCAAGAACTCAGAGTGGTGACATTGAAGTCTGCGGCCAGGCTGCTGGGGACATGGCAAAAAGAGACACTTTGTTTTCTGCCTCCCCACTAAAAAATAAAGCGAAAAGAATAATATATACAGGTAATCATTTCCACTCCATTGCTGGCATAAAGAAATTAATTCTAAGTAGATCAAAACAATAGCATTCATTAAACAGATGGCTCAGAGAAAGAAATGTGATGTTCAGTTGAAGCCTCATGTATGAAATTACATAACCCAACTGTATCATACTCCGTAAGTATCTGTTTACTAATTATACAGCTGAAAGAGCATTTCAACAAAACCTGGGAGAGGAATTTACATCTACAGCCATGCAATCTACATCCATGTCTCAGCACCATTAGAATCTGTTTAATGGGTGTGAATATATACATACAAGGTGGAGCCTAGGTGTATTACCAGAGCTTTGCAGTATTGTCAGATATGAAGTAATATCACAATACTTGGTAATAGGGACAATCAAATATAATAAGGGTAAAAGTTGTGAAGATTTTCAGAAGTAACAGCAAATGCACATGGAGAATGCTTTCAAAACAATGTCATGCTGCTGTAGCAATAAACAAAACATTTTTTAAAAGCAATACCGCCTAAATAAAGAAAGCAAATTGGAATGACAAGAATGATAAGAAATGCTCTATAACATTTTTTTAAAAAAAATAAATACTTCTCAGGAAACATTCTGCAGTTCCAAACAATGAAAATGTTTTGAAGTTTTGGACCTAAAATTAAATCATGAGAAAATATTTGCCATTTAAACCTTTTTCTGTGAGGGTGGACGAAATCCTTGCATGCTGTTATTTTTATGACAAGGAGCTGTTATTTCCTTTTTAAAATGTTGAAGGTACAGGTATTCTGTCACTCTGGGGTAGAGTGAGGGGGACAGTATACTGTAGCTCTTTATTATGCCATCTTTTGTATATTTTCCTTTTGCAAGGTCCAAAGTCTTGACTCTGTGGTTGCAGTGAGGGAAGCTGCTGTACCAAACAGAGACAAGCAGTATCTGCAAGCATATATTTGTTTCTATAATGACTGTATTGTTGCTTTTCATTTCAGCATAATAAATATTCCTTTTTTCAGATATTCATCTTATTTCAATGTTCAAATGCTATTTAAAAGAAAGTATTTTGATGGTTTAAACAGCTGCTTATATTGCACCTTGTTTTTCATTGCCTCTTCACTAATGATTTAAGTGAATTATCCTGTATATATCCTATATATAGGAGGTATAAATAATGTATTTAATCAATGAATTATAGTGCACTGTACTCTTTTTACTTGTGGGATGAAATATCCATTTCCCCTTTCAGATTTCTGTTCTCCAATTCTTCTAGGTTCCCAAATGACACATCCTCACTTCTGCATTCCCCTGACTTGTCTCAAGTATTTGTACAGCATTCCAGCATCCTTTGTGGCCACAAAAAAATGCTGACGTTAGCATCTTGTCAACTTGTGCTATGCCCTCTGAGATACAAGAATATTATGCTCCAAAATTCTATTCTCCATTCAGTATTTCATCCAAGAGGTGTTCCTAATTTCTCCCACTGTAGCTTATTTAAAACAAATTTGGAAAAACTCCTGCTCCTGTTGACTTAAAATGGACTTACAGTATATCTTAAAAGTATTAATCAAGTTCTAGCTTTAGATCTGAGGCTAATCTCTTACATTCATATAATAGTCATCAAAAGAAAGTAAGAAATCAGTCTCAAATCTTGTCCAATTTTCAGACAATAGCCATTCAAGAATACACGAGAAACTGCAAACAGACTAGCTTATCTGGGTTGTAAAAGTCTGGACAAAACTACATGGCAGCAAAGGATCTGAGTTTTATGTATCTGTTTTCGGTCTTCCAGTGATCATGATGATAGCTCTAGACAGGTAGTTGCCCATTTTTATTATGATAGACAGATAGACAATCAGACAGACAGATGATAGATAGGTAGGTAGGTAGGTAGGTAGGTAGGTATAACTAGATGATAGATGCATATTCCTACAAAAATATCAACTGTACATCACACATCACATACATAGTTCATTAATCATAATCTTAATATTATTGCTAGAAAAAGAGTGATGGGATACTGATAAATGCTGAAACTCTGGCTATGACCAACAGAAATCCTTAGAGAAAACAGCATGAGAAAGCAGATACTCTTTCATTAGAGAATGTATCGTTAAACCATTTCCTAAAGTAGGAAGGATGAAACATTGGTTTTGGGAAACATGTTGGAAGATATTTGGAGTATTTGCTGGCTTCAAGAATTCCTGCTACTGAGACTAGACTGCCCCAACCTTCAGATCAAATCAGATCAAGATACGTGGTATATAAAACTGATCATATAAAGCAAAAAAAAACAAAACACACAAATTCCTCTTTTCTGCCTGACTATAAAAACACACCAACAAGAAATTAAATAACTACTAACGTATGCCCTTCCATGACACCACAACTCTGCTGCTTGTGCACCAGTAGAAATCATTTGTATTGCATTCTCACCACTACTCTCACCAACTGTTTTCTGGAGTGACGATGGTGGTGAAGTCCCTTGAAATGCTAGGATTTAATAAAAAATAATGGAATGCATTAGGCCAAAGTTTCCCATCCCTAGCTGCAATAATTAGTTCAGAATGATAACAAAAAACCAAGTTGATCCCATATAAAGATGAACTGTGGGCTGTGCAGTGTAGGAGAATCCAAGAGCTCAGCTGTGTTTAGCACAGGTCCCTAACCTTCAATCTTGTAGAGTACAAATAATGCAGAGTAAATTGACTTGGAATTGCAACCAAGATGTGTTTTATTATCGGTACTTTTTATACTTTCCTTTGCCACAGTTGCTGTTTATATTTGCAGGTCTTTGTATTTTGTTATTTTTTTCCAGTTCTTTCTCTGCTTCCAGGTACTGCCATATCTGCTATGAAGTCTTTTTCGTCTTTCTTTTTGACAACTATTTGCATTATTAAATGTTTGGGTGAATTGGGGTCATGAAAGAATAGACAAACTTTTTTGTTATCAGTTCCAAATTCCTTAAAAAGTTTAATGTAGGAGATGACCAAACTGAGTCTGAGGATGGGATCAAACACATCATCAGTTTGGAGTCTCTGTACCCCCATTAAAGATCTAAGTCCACCCCCCACTTTTAAGTCCATTGACTCTTATCTGCTACCAAATTACCTTGACTGTTAGTAGTTCAGATTCTTGTGTATAGGTAGCATGAAATAAATTTTAGTACTTTTGCGTTCTATCCTGGCTCCTGACTTCTTCTACCTGACATTTAAAGGTAATAACCTAAAAACTGTGGTGGCACAGTGATTAGAATGCTGTATTGCAGGCTAATTCTGCTGATTGTCAGCTGTCGGCATTTCGGTAATTCAATCCTGACAGGTTCAAAGTTGATTTAGCCTTCCATCCTTCTGAGGCCAGTAAAATAAGGACCCAGATTGTTGGGGACAATAGGCTGACTCTGTAAACTGCTTAGAGAAGGCTGTCAAGTATTGTGAAGCAGTACATAAGTCTAAGTGCTATTGCTATTGCTATAACCAGATAATAATTCAGATTGCATCACTATAAGTAGGATGTAAATGAAAGAGTAGAAGGAGAATGAAAAAATATAAGGATATCACACCAATTAAAACTATTTTTAAAAATAAAGTACTGAAGTCTGCTTAATATAAATAGAGTGGATTAATGCATATTTTAAACAGACCTTTTGCTTCCATATTTTATTTATTTATTTATTGGTTCGATTTATATATATAATTGTATACTTTTTTTTTCCTCAAGGTCCAGATGGCACAGGTAATTACCAACCAAAGGAACTGGATTATTGCCATTACATAGGATCAAAATCTTCACCCGTGGAGGGCAGTAGTGATGCCAAGTATTTGTGGAGACATGCACCAAGTAATCCTCCTCCATGGATGCACAAGAATTGGTTTGTAGGAGAAATTGGCTGGAGAACAAAAGAGTTTGGCTCACTTAACCAAACTGGTCTTCTCCAGGGCAAGAAGATAATGGTAACTAGCTCAATGTAACTTCAGAATACTTTCTTTGCAACTGTGGTAATGTTAGCTCTAGTGGTTTTATGCTAAGTATTCATAATACATTACTAAGAGAAGAATATGTTACTTCACGTCTAGCTTGGACAGTGACATTTTTTCTGAAGAAAATATAATGTGCCAGAAAACATAATAGAGAATATAAACATTTATACCATCTTAGCTACTACCAACATAATGTACTGAAACTTAAAACCAAAAATTCAAAATACCAATTCAATATAGTGATTATTCATCCATAAACAGATGGGCATGGTCTCACTTTGGTCCGTTTCCTCATCTCCCCCCCGCCCCCGGAGCATCCTGTGCACATTCAAATTCTGCTGCAAAAGATAGTCAGACCTGAGCAGATTTTGAGAGGATCTGAAAGATTTCTAGAATAGCCATTAAGTAATATATAAGAAAGGAAAGAAGTCATATGGATGGACATTGCTACTAATTTTCCCCACTACCAAGTTAAAATACTGCCCACCCATCCATGACTCATCATAAAACTATGTTGGCATAAAATATGCTGTTGATTTTACAGTCCCTGTCTTGCTTCCGTGGCATCTGCTTAAAGTCAATGCTAAAGAGTATTATTTTGTGTCAATCTATTAAAGACAAGATTGCTGTTTTCTCATCTGGCTTTGCTGCAGTTTTTTCAGCAGAGTCCATCAATCAAGATCTTGCAGCAGAAATAGGGTCAATCTCACTCCAGGATTCTTGCTATTTTGTCTTGGCTGACCTCTATGTTCCTCTCTCCCTTTTCCCTGTGAGATCCCATTTGGGCATCCTAAGATAAAATATGTTTGTTTTTTTTAAAATTACATGGGTAGGCAAGAAGGCAGAAATAGCACCAGAGAAGAGGAAGGCACGCTTTGCTATAATTGTGCTTTAATTCTATAGAGCAGAATAAACAAAACCTGGTAACTGCTAGGCAATTGTCTCCCTAATGGGGAATCAGGGACTGGTTGAAACATAAAAATACAGGCAAACTAGCAAGTGAACAGTAAAAGCCCAGTTCAGCTTCTCTTATATAATCTCTGGACACTGCAATAAAGAAGAGAAGGGTTGCTGCAATTAAGGATAAAGGGAATTTGAAGGAAATGGCCAACCATCCATGCACAGGAAAGTTGGTGAGAGAATAATCCACCCTACTGACTGACAGATATATGAGCTCTAACTGCTGTTTACTACAGTAGGCAGATCTTCTTTCATAATTGGCTTTGTTTTTGGTCAGCAATAAAGCATCTAAATTAGCCAAGTCATGTCCAGTCATTTACTGCTGAGTAAGCGAATTCCAAAATAAGGGCCTGAGAGCATAGGAAACCTAACTCTATAGTCATTAGACTGAATCAAGCATGACAGCCGTTTGGTGGATTAGCACAAACATTGAAGCATCTTCCACTGTGACAGAATAGTGTGGAATGGAAGGATTTATGCTCCTTGCAGACAGCTGGTCATTTGCATCCTTTTAGAAGGTCGTTGCAAGGAATATAAATCCTTCCATTCCACACTATCCTGTCAGAGCTGAAGAAGCTTCTTGGATGAGAAGCAAAATGTCTTCAAAGGAAAAACAAGAAAGTCCAGTTGCCTCCTGAAAAAACACCTTTGGGATAACCATGACCTGGATGACTAAGAATCTCTACAGACTACTGTAGAGTACTACTCACCTACATACATATAAATACTGAGGAAAAAGTCATCTCTGTGCTTCCCAATAATCAAAATAACACCTTGGGTCACCTGATCTCAACTCCACATTAATTGGTGTCCATAGGAGATATGGTAGTAATTACTGACATCACTGGACAAATGCTACAATTTATTTTCCTCTTCTCTAAGGGATGATATAAGTATAGCCAGAGAAGATTAGCACTCAATTTCTTCAAAATTAGTGAAAATATTGCTGCTCAAAATAGTCATTTATCAATGAATTTCAGGATCTTGAGGTACTCTCAAAGCTGCCCATTTCTGATTTACTTTGTCTGGTTATGGAAGGGAAGATTCTTCTTTTTAATGATAAATCTGTGTTTATTATTTGTATCTGTTGTGATGGCATATGGTCCCATAGATAGTGTGGGACCACAGCCTTGTGATATTGTTCATTACAGGATCTCTCAGTTGGCCCTGCTATGCTTTAAAATCTTACATACTTAGATATATTTAGATCATTCCTGACATAAGTGATACAGTAGCAAAGCAGTCAGATCAGAGGACTATAAATAACTCTCTGAGAATATTCTTTTGTTTCCCTTTGACAGCCTAAGCTAAATCTCCCAGCTGAAGAATATGAAATAATTAACGAATACAAAAATCCCAGGTATGGATACATGTGTTTCTTTTAATCCTTTATATCAACTCATTTGCAAAATCTCAGGATAAGCATGAGATTAGTAGCATTGTCAATAAGCTTAACCTTGAATAAAAAGTTTGATAATTGCATCTTAAGCTATTGCTAACTGATAGTTATGAAACATCACTTTGTTTAGCAACAAATTTCAGTTGAATTCACAAAATACTGTCCGCAACTTAAAATTTAATATATACTTAACAGATAACAAAATATTTACTATTTTTGGTTCTCCAGTAGCTTAAATGTTAATACTGTATTCAAGCATATAAATGGCACTTTGTAATGATAGAGATTTGAGTGGAGTGCCTGTTTGATATAGCTCTTAGAAACGTCCAACATCTATTCAATGGTTCAGATTTACATCACTCACTTAGTGAATGTAAATTCATATTCTGTTCTGTGAACATGTAGAAACTATGATTTGCAAGGCAAATTGAACAATTAAGGAAAATTGGCTCTGCCCTGACTCTTTGTCAACAGAGCAGTGTGCTTCTGAGAGCTACTTTGTTATATCAAAACCATGCAACGTGCCTGCATAGGGGATACACCCACCCCAATTAATATGTTTCCCAATCCTGGGGAAAAGAAAGAAGCGTATTCAATATAACAGCATACAGCATAGACACAATGCTAAGTAAATCATTGCCAGTTAAAAATACAGCCATCTCTTTTTCTGCAGAGGAATTACTGCTAAAATCTCAATATTTAATCCTAAATCAGTATGGATTATCATGCTTTTCTTTCTATCAAAATTAAGAATATTGTATTCACATTTCCCAATTGCTACGGTATTGCATTGTGGCATTGTATGACCCCAAAGTGAAAATTAAAGAAATTTTCTTTAGCCTTCAAGTTACGTAAGTCACCCTGTTTTTTCATGGTTTTACCTTTATAAAACCACAGAATTATTCCATAGATTTTGATCTAGTGTATGATTATTGTATGGCGATAAATCAATATACCTTTCTTTCATCTCATTCCAGGAAATTGACATTTAATCCCCAGTACTGAGAGTTTGAAAGTTTATCCAATGGATATAGATGTGAAGCTGATTCTATGGATTGTAATAAACAAAGAAGCACTCTTTCTGCCCAAAGGACAATCAAGATGGCCAACAGTTATTTATATTAACATTGGAAGTGTTAATTAGAAATATTAGACAGGATCCAGAAATTATAGGAATAGAAATAAAAAAAGAAGAGTATAAATTATAAGCATTTGCAGATGACCTAGTTTTTATACTAGAAGAACCATTAGAAACCGGCCCCAGACTGATAGGAAAAACTGAGGACTATGGAGAAGTGGCAGGACTGAAAATAAATAAAGAAAAAGCTAAAATAATAGTGAAAAATCCTACAGATAAACAGAGAAACAAATTGACAAAGAAGGTAGACCTTCAGATAGTAAAGAAAGTGAAATATTTAGGAATCTACTTGACAGCAAAATATGCAACAATTAAAGATGATAACTATACAAAGTTAGTGCAACAAATTAAGTTGGACTTTGAGAAATGGAAGAACCTACAACTTTCAATGATAGGGAGAATAGCTACTATAAAAATGAACATACTACCAAAGTTACTTTTCTTATTCCAAACAATACCTATAAAATTAGAAAAAAATACTTTGAGGAATTGAATAAAACAATTTTGAAATATATCTGGCATGGGAAGAAAGCAAGAATAAGATTGAAAATGTAACAGGAGTCTAAAGGTAATGGGGCTTTGGGTTACCAGACTGGGAGTTGTATTATCAGGCATCTGTACTTAAATGGGTGAAAGAATGGATAAACTTGAGGCATAGAAGATTACTACTACTGGAGGGCCATGATCTCCAATTAGAGTGGCATGCCTTTTTATGGTATGGAAGGCGTATAGTACATAGATATTTTCAAAGACACTATGTGAGGAATGCTTTACTTTTAGTATGAGAAAAAAATAAATCACAAAACTATAGGAAAATACCAGACTGAGTTTCTACAATGGAAGAATTGATACATCCAAATGTTGTCAACTTGGAAAAAATTGTATCCTACAAAGACATTCTAAACGAGAAAGGGAAACTTAAAACCAGCCAGGAACTACAAAATCAAGGGGTGGATTTAGCATGGTGGCCACACCTACAAATACAATCAAGATATGAGAAAGATGCGAAAACATGGGGTTTCTATTAAGAACCAACAACATTTGATAAGATATTATTAGGGACAGATGAAACACTGATAAGAAAACTATATAATTACCTACTAAGCTTAAAATGGAAGGTGAACACGTAAAAGAAACAATGATAGTATGGGCAAAAAACTTTGACTATACTATAGAACTAGATAAATGGCAACAACTTTGGGATAGAAATTACAAACTGACAATGACCACTGCATATAAGGAAAATCTTTATAAAATGTTTTATAGGTGGCATTTGCCACTGGCAAGACCAGCAAAAATGTTTGACAACGTGTCTGCCAAATGTTGGAAATTTAATGAGACTTCAGGTATTTATTATCTTATGTGGTGGACATCTATGAAAGCAAGAAAATATTGGACAAAATACATATGTACATGGCTGGAAAAGATGATATAGATTTAAAGCCAGAAATACTTTTGTTAGGTATAATACCAGAAAGCTATGATAAAGGAACTATATAGTTAATGCTACATGTATTGACAGTAGCAAGAATTGTATTTGCACAATATTGGAAAAATGGGAACACCCCACCAGATGTAAATATAATTCGGAAAATATTGGACTGTGCAGAGATGGATAGATTGACATTGAAAATAAAAGACAAAGGAGATGCAGAGTACTATTCAGTGTGGAATAGGTTTTATCAATGGTTAGAGATAAGAGACAGAAATTAGATGAAGAAAAATCATTATTATGTGTAAGAAAAAGATGAAAGTTGTCTATAATAACCCCTCGGGATAGGGGTTGCTCCTCTATCCTGGTCCTGTTAGATTTCTCAGTGGCTTTTGATACCATCGATCATGGTATCCTGCTGCGCCGGTTGGAGGGGTTGGGAGTGGGGGGCACTGTTCTGCGGTGGTTCTCCTCCTATCTCTCTGACCGGTCGCAGTCGGTGTTGGCAGGGGGGCAGAGGTCGACCCCGAGGCGCCTTGTTTGTGGGGTGCCTCAGGGGTCGGTCCTCTCGCCCCTTCTGTTCAACATTTATGTAAAGCCGCTGGGTGAGATCATCCATGGCTTTGGGGTGGAGTTCCATCAGTACGCTGATGATACACAGCTGTACATCTCCACCCCAGGCCATCCCAACGATGCCCTTGAAGTGATGTCCCGGTGCCTGGAGGCCGTGAGGATCTGGATGGGGAGTAACAGGCTTCGACTCAACCCTTCCAAGACCGAGTGGCTGTGGCTTCCAGCGTCCCGATATAGCCAGCTGGTGCCATCGCTGGCTATTGGGGGTGAGTTATTGGCCCCCACAGATAGGGCTCGCAACTTGGGCGTCCTCCCGGATGCACGGCTGTCTTTAGAAGAGCATATGATGGCCGTGGCCAAGGGGGCTTTTTATCAGGTCCGCCTGATTCGCCAGTTTTGTCCCTTTCTGTATCGGGACTCCTTACGCACAGTCACTCAGGCATTCGTCACTTCCCGCCTGGACTACTGCAATGCTCTCTACATGGGGCTCCCCTTGAGGAGTACCCGGAGGCTCCAACTGGTGCAGAATGAGGCCACGTGGGGGATTATGGGAGTGAGGGGGCGTTCCCATGTGACACCTCTCCTGCGTGAGCTGCATTGGCTTCCAGTGGTCTTCCGGGTGCGCTTCAAGGTGTTGGTTACCACCTTTAAAGCGCTCCATGGCATAGGACCTGGGTATTTGTGGAACCGCCTTCTGCCGCCGATAGCTTCCCACCGACCAGTATGCTCCCACAGAGAGGGACTCCTCAGGGTGCCGTCAGCCAGGCAATGTCGGCTGGTGACCCCCAGGGGGAGGGCCTTCTCTGTGGCAGCTCCTGCCCTCTGGAACGATTTGCCCCCGGAGATAAGAAGGATATTGGATCTCCGTGTCTTTTGCCGTGCCCTGAAAACTTTTCTTTTCCATCAAGCAGGGCTGGCGTGAACCCCCCCCCCTTTTTAGCTTTTTTAGTTTTTTAGCTTTTAATCTGTCAATGGGTTTTAATTCGAATTGTTTTAAATTTGGGCCAAAGTATGTAATTCTTTTAATAATTTTAAATTTTGTATTGGTATGTGTTTTAGTTCTGGCTGTGCACCACCCTGAGTCCACTAGGAGAAGGGCGGTATACAAATTGAATAAAATAAATAAATAAATAAAATATCTTGAGCAAAAACAGTATTATTGTTTATTAACTGAATGCAACTCACAAGGGAGAAAGTGAATTTATCTTTTTGAGGCCTTTCTTGTTGACTTTCTTGTCCAGAAAGGCAGGAAATCAAGATAGGCAATCCTTAGCTCTTTAGAACAGGGCTATCCAATGTTGGTAACTTTAAGAGTTGTGAACTTCAACTCCCATTCTGATTAGGGAATTCTGGGAGTTGAAGTCCATAAGTCTTAAACATTGAACATCCCTGCTCTATAAGGTAAAATCAGAGGCAAGTAGCCTGTGTGCTCCTATTGCAAACAGATGCATTGCCCTATTTCACATCCCAACAGAGGGATTTATTTTCAGATTGTGTCTTCTGGACTGAGCTCAAAGGATTATCTATTACAAATATATCACAAAACTTCCAAACTACATTGATGATATTACCTTCTAGGGTCAAGAAATATTGGCAACCACAAACCCAGCTCAGAGAGCAGCCAACATTTTTTCTTCATATATCATTTCATACAGATCTCTTCTGTATGAAGAAGATTACTTGAGGGATGGATGTGTCATGTTTTAGATCCAAGCCTCCTTTCATTTTGCTAAAATACAGGGTTTTCAGAATTGGAGAAAAACCATTTAAAAAAAATGCTACTGGTAATAAAACAATCATAAACAGAAGTAGACTTTTACACTGATTTCTGCTAAAATATACATTTATCTTTGTCTTCCAGCACTTCATATAGGCATAGTGTTTTGGTCCACAATATTCACAAAGATGTATTTGTGTGTGTGTATGACAGACGGAAGACAGATAGATCATGAACTGGATACTCTGTGCTCTCCAAAAGTTGAACACAGAGGCTACTCATTTGCAGGTCAGTTCTGTCTTCCACAGATGCCCAACTGGACCTGGCGTTCAGTAGGCATGGGAGATACGATGGCATGCCAGCAAATATTGTCTTTAATTGCGCTCTACGCAATAATAAATCATTAAGAAGTCCTCAATCTTCAGGCTAGATTAACTACTCAAAAGATGATTTGGAGACTGATACGCAATCCTTGGATGCATTTTTATATTTGCTTTCATCCTATTGTGGATGTATGCTTTTCTTGGTTTTATGTTAATTGATTGTGTTTTGATAGTGACTTTTAATTTTAATTGCAGTGCCATGATTCCTTGGGAAACATGGTAGAGTCAAACTATAGGAAATAAAATAAAGTTAAGTTGAAAGACTAATTCAGTAGCAAGCTGTATTGCAAAGCAAATCAAGTATGCATATCTATTTAATTACCAGATGTCAAACTTACTTCATGAAGTCTTTATCTTTTAAAAGGATTTCGGCGACCATTCAGGGCTAAGACATGAAAGCCCTCTCAAAGAGATATTGTAAAGCCCTAAGACAACTGTTGTCAAGACAGACCAATGACCTTGCTCAATGTAAGGCAGTTTCATACGAGTAATTCTCACCACTCCCTATTCACACAAGGCACATAAATAAGGTGCAGGATGTCTAAACTGGAACATTATGCAAAATACCTACTATACGCATATATACATCAATATAAATAGGACAAGGACATAGACAACGAATAGAATAAATTCATATATTTATATTACTGTCGTAAGGATATGGAACACTAAAATAAAATGAGTGAAGTATACCACAAGTCCTCCTAAAAATGAAGGCAAATGAAAAGATGTTAATTTAATAGCCCACCACAAATTGAATGCAATGAATTAATAAACTGCTTTCCAAAGTGAACTATTAGCCTGGGGCATAATATAAGATTCTGTTTATTAAAATGATTTTAGTTTGCAGTTAGCTTTAATTCAGAAATGCAATTTAATCTAACCAGAATAAACACACGCAAGGTGGTAGGCTGGGGAATCCTGCAGAGTACGAAGTTTAGCAGTTTTGGCTAGTACTGTAAGTG